ATTCTTTGTCCTAGCAAGTGCCTCAAAAGTTTTAATTTTTGTGAAATATGTTGAATATATCTCTATTAGCATTCATCATGTTTAAAATGTACTAAAAGTGTACCCAATTAATAACATTTTCGTGAGATGTACAGAGTAACTAATTTGGTCGATTAAAAATAAAATAAAAAATCATTTTATGTTTATGTTTGCGGCTTTCTTCATGAAGAATTACGCTAACCAAAAAAGTCAAAATTGTTATATATAATCTTAATTGTTTTAAACTGTTATAAGAATCGATGGTCTTGCACGAACAAGACTAAGACTGAACATGTTAGACCAAGATCAAGGTCAAGACTATGTTAGTTTTGCATTGGTTTTGCGTTTGCTAATCATCAATACATGCAGATCTTAGACACTAAAATAAGATAATTCAGACATGTACATTTTAGTGAAGCATTATTGAGGATCAATTGTTGAATCTCAAAAAATAATTAAACTTCACTTGCAATTTTCAAGAACCATTACATAATTTACATACTTATACCATGTATAGATGTAGGCATTGANTTCATGGTCGTCAGTCTGAAGATTCAACTCTACTAATTTTTATCCTGAGTCAATCTTTGAGTTTCCCAAAAACTAGAACATTCAACACCCCTAATTAATAGCGAACATTAGTCTAATCTAGATCTACCTCTGCCGCTCTTTACTCCTGCTTCTGTTTCTAATATGTCTCTAACTAGCTCTTCATATATGAAAAGGTCTTCCACCATCATATTTCGTCTTTTCCTCACTTTCTGAGCACCCTTTGTTCTTCTACTCTTTCTGGTTCCTTCCCATTTCTAAGCTTATCTATCCACGCTATTTTCATTATCTATCGATAAAGCCACACCTCATATGCTTCTAGCTAAAGACCCGTGCTCCAAACATATACATTAACTGTTCGCGAGCACACAAGTGATTTTTTTTGTTAAAGTTGAGACTGTATATGTATGGTTTTACATTAAAATTTTTATGGAACATAGGGCAACTTGGTTTGTAGAGAACATAAAATCTACAACACTGTGAACCATTCTTTACCTATGTAAAAAAAGAGCTAGTCACGTCTCTGGCAATAACAATCAGTTATTGAAAATAAGCGGCATCTAATTTTTTATCTCCGATTTTATATTATGTTTAATCACTCTTTTATCTCACTTGCATATCTACAATACCGATATTTTTGTTTTATTTTTATTTAATTTCATTTTTTCTTCTACCAATATTGCTTCCACTGTATTTAAGATTGCTTTTAACTCCTCATTTTTATGTACATAACAGATTCAGGTTTGATCAGATAAGATGCCTTTTTTGCTTGATAGTAGTAATTATAATAAAGCAACCCATTATGATAAAACAATTTATTGATAATATAATTATTATTCCAAAATAGCCAGCGAATAAGAGGCGTAATAGAAGGAAACTACGTGCACACATAAGGCAGTGAAATAAGGAAACTATTGCGGGAAGGTTCCGGAATTAATTACGAATATATTCTAATGACTGTATAAATAACAGTTGATAAAATCGAAACGTTTTAAGTGTGAGAAAACGAGAAATTCAAACGGTGAAATATTTTTTGTTAATAAAATTTTGGTGTTCCTAAAATTTTAGCACCCATTCAAGATGGTCTCACGGGCATAAGCGTAAATCCAGCACTGATTACATTTGCTAATACTATTACGTAATTCAACGCATGCAAAATTTAATTGTAAATGTGTTATTCTTTTTGCCCCTGTATATGTATCATGAAAGCTTATTTAAAACTTTAATTGTGGTCAATCCTATTAGAGAAATTAACGTTGATAATTTTTAATTTATATATTTTTAATCAATTGTAAATTGGATACCCACAAAATTTTTGTACCAACGCTAAAGAGGTCACTATTAATCACCACATATGCTGTTTTCTCCATTCTCAAGACCTACTTTTCGGAATTTTGATTGACTACACCGATATTTTTAAATTCTTCTTTCCTCTGTTAAGTATGTCGTATACGCACTTGCATTCTTCTGTTCAAAGTTAACGATTAGAAGTTGGATATTCTGGATATTCCCAAACGCTTTTATGGATCGTTATGTTCATTTATGGGATTTCTTTTGGAAGTTGGTTATTAGCATATAATAATAAAACTGACATACAGTTTATCAATACAATTATAAATTTTGCACAATTCTAGTATATATTATTATAAAAAGTTATGATAGATATGTGAGATATTCTTTTGTTTTATAATAATCCCTAAAAAATATTGTACAGAACACAAATATTTAATGCTTTTGATGATGAATGAAAATGAGTAGGTATATACATGTGGAGTAATGTCCTTTTTTTAATGACGAAAACTATTAAGTCATTAGCTACAAAATTATAAAAAATTGTGCCAAATACTTTATAAATTAATTCACTTTTTTAATTCTGTGCCTTATTATTTTATAATACACAGAATATGTATTATCTATGTATTGTCAAAATATCAGTTCCTTTTAAGGTTTATTCCCTTTGTATCTCTAATATTATTTATAGATTATCAAAAACAAAAAGAAATGTGTTGACTTTTGTGAATAACCAAAGAGGTCTACTACGTCCTATTTATCTTAAAATGAATGACACAGCTTAACTAAAATTTGAAATCCTTAACAATAATATGCTGGTGGTAAGAAAGTTATTGAAACTATCAGATGAGAATCTCATCAGTGCAACGTATACTTTAGTAGCCGCAAATATCTAGTAGATGGCGCAACTGTGTCTTCTTTGTATATTATATCAATTCGCATTGTAGGAGCTTCTTCACTTTAGTCAATAATTTTTAAACCGCTTATGGCGAATGAGATCAAATAAAATCGAAATTGCGATCCGCTTCTGGTAATTTCAGTTCCGACCAAGAACTTAAACGCACTTATTAATATGGTTTCATTCAATTATTCTTACACAATTTGAAATACCTTACTCACAGCAAATATCCACTAGATGGTCATATACTGCCTGTCTACGTTATTTTTTATGATTTTTTGGATCCACAAAGAAAAGTTTTTCAAAAAATTACCTGTTTTAGAAAGGAATGTTATATTTCCATGATTTTTATTTGCAAAATAACTGGGTGTCTTAAGGATCCACATGGACAGTTTTATGTACGAGATAGATTAAAATCTTACTTTACATATGTCATAAAGTAAAAACAAATGTAGAAATCATGAGTTTTACTATTTGACTTCTCAGTTCTAAGAATGCCACTTTTAATAGACAATTGTTGATAAATGTCTATCTCACACCTGTTAGTTTTAAAACAACATTTATTGATTTCGCTTAATTACTTCTCTTCATTCAAATTGGTCTCTACAAACCGCATTTCCTATCATTATTTTTATTCTTCCTGTCTGACAAATTATTTCGGTAACGATTACAATAGAATCATGTTCGGTATCTACCAAATAAGGAAACAGAGAAATACAACAAAGACAAAGTTTCCGTTTTGTTTAAACTTCCTTTTCCTAGAAAATAGAAAGTCTTTCTATATGAAGGTGTATCCTTTAAAGCAATATTTTTACATACCTATCTAAGTTAGCTTAAGTACAGTATTTGTTCAGTTTGTAGTACTTACCAGGGAACTTAAAGAAATAGTAAATATAACTGGAAATTTTGTAATGATTAGTTGTGCATATTTCCTAAGTTTAAGTAGTAATGAATTCAGATTTTTATTTATATTTATTTCATTTCGTATTAAGAAAATGTTACAGGCATTTGCTCATTTTATAAATATTGGAGTTTTTCTAGACTAATAGTGGTGTTTGCACTATATCACCAGCTGCGAAGAATGATGAAATGATTCATATTTTTCTGTTTGAAGTGATTGAGATAAAGTTTTTATAGTTTTATGTTACAGTTTCTTATAGCAACATATAATTCTTCTATATGTTTCCTTATTTGTCTTTAACATCCATTTTAATTGGAAAAAAGACACTGATGCTAAAATAGTTTGTTTTGCGTGAAAGATCAGAGCCAAAAGAAATTATTGATGTAAAATCAACGTCAATCATTTTATATCAAAATATTTACAACCCCATTTTGTTTCTGATCTTTTACGTATAGTAATGAGAGACAGAAATGGAATGCATAGTTTCTTTAGCTTTGGGTTCATCTAATAAGTGAAGTTTTTCGAATCGTTTTCTAAGAATTTTGGATTAAATGCATTCATAAGCAATATCTTGCAATTTTTAGTTTTACACATCTGACGCGTATCAATTCGATAATGTTTTGCGGGGTGTTTTGTCGTAATTCATAGAATTTCGTAGTTCCTTGCTAAAGGTACGATAAGTGATAATTTGGCAAGTACTGTTATCAATTTGGAACTTCAAAATTCCATGGTCCATGATATTGAACCCGGAAAACAATATCGAACCAATATTTTCGATTATCCGTTTCCAAGGAGTCTATAATTTTTTGGGCTCTTAGAAGGCCTTTATAGAATATCTCTTTGTCCCCTTTTTAAGCTGCTAATACTTTCAATGGCTAATGTGAGCAACTTTCATTCATCATTTTATATAATGTTTGATCGGTGATTTATGTGATATTTGTACTCATGATCAGTAGTTCTTTGTCAACTGGAATAATATTAATAACTCTGATTGTGATATGCGTAAATAACAGTTACTACAGTTATACTACGGACTACACACGCCGGATGGGATTGTCGTACCATCTTCCCTCATTAAGTAAAAATAACGAGTTGCATAATTTTAAACTGAGCAAAGCATTTTGGATACTTACGGTTTTAATGTTAAAGTTTATCGATACATTGGGTTAATATTCAGAGTGAGCCAGCAGATAGTTCAAAGGATTCATTAGATGTGCCTGGATCTACCCGAATCCACCCATACCTACATAATACGTTGTTCCTATGCTTTCATATCTTATTACTTGTTTTTCATGTTATAAATATAATGTTTTTTATTTACAGTTCACGTTGAAATAATTTAAAATGACTTCGGTGGCCTTAAATGTTACCAAGACTGTGTGGAAGGAAGTATACGATTATTATCTTTGGACACACTCGTTATCAGGTAATTGTTTTCGTTGTTAAGCTAAGTACCTGATATTAATTCTTACGATAATATAGGTATTTATAATTAAAAATATTCGTTTTCATGTACTTACTTATATTCTTATTGAATTAGTTCACTTTATATAGCATTTAATCGTCAACTAATTTATAGATTTAGTAGGCCGGTGTCTAATTGATGATGAAGAGCTTCTGGGCTTTTTTTCTGTCGTGGTCGAATTCTAATTGCAGACTCAATATTCATCGTGAAGCTCTGAAAATGCCATCTATTAAGCATTTCGAAATTACTGCTATTAGAATTCGACCACAGCAGAAAAGCTCATCATCTATTAATTTACAGATGTTAGGAATGAGGAAAATAGTGTTGCAGTTTTGCATATTTAGTAAGAGCAAAATCAAGAGCAAGACTCAACTATGCTAATATGACCAAGAGCAAGAGCAAGAATAGTTCGAAGAATGTTCTGAAGTAAACCTAAAAAAAATAAAGGATTCATATTCTTTGTCCTAGCAAGTGCCTCAAAAGTTTTAATTTTTGTGAAATATGTTGAATATATCTCTATTAGCATTCATCATGTTTAAAATGTACTAAAAGTGTACCCAATTAATAACATTTTCGTGAGATGTACAGAGTAACTAATTTGGTCGATTAAAAATAAAATAAAAAATCATTTTATGTTTATGTTTGCGGCTTTCTTCATGAAGAATTACGCTAACCAAAAAAGTCAAAATTGTTATATATAATCTTAATTGTTTTAAACTGTTATAAGAATCGATGGTCTTGCACGAACAAGACTAAGACTGAACATGTTAGACCAAGATCAAGGTCAAGACTATGTTAGTTTTGCATTGGTTTTGCGTTTGCTAATCATCAATACATGCAGATCTTAGACACTAAAATAAGATAATTCAGACATGTACATTTTAGTGAAGCATTATTGAGGATCAATTGTTGAATCTCAAAAAATAATTAAACTTCACTTGCAATTTTCAAGAACCATTGCATAATTTACATACTTATACCATGTATAGATGTAGGCATTGAAGGTGGGATTTTATATTAATTTTTTAATAATTTCTAGAGTCCGTTATTAAATTTTTCAATTTAGTAAATAAATTATTTTATCTCTTTAGACGAACGCACACGTGGATGGCCCTTAGTAGATTCGCCTCTAGCCACTGTAATATACACTGCACTATATTTATTTATAGTATGGATAGGACCAAAACTAATGAAAAACAGAAAGCCGTTTAAGTTGACCTGGCTTCTAATTCCTTACAATCTGTCCATGGCCTTATTAAACGCCTATATCGCGATGCAGGTAAAGTATGAAAAAAAAAATACAACGTGTAATTATACAACACGCTACTGAAGTGAAACTTCTTCAAACACACAAACATACCGGGATAGAGGTTAAGGAATTGGTTTAATGGTATTATTTGTACACTAAGAATTTAAATTTTACACTTTAGATGCCGGAGTTGCCTGTAACGAACGTTGAATTGAAGCGCGCTCACGGCTCAAACGATCCCCACTACGAACTCGACTACGTGGCCGAGTAGAGGGGGGACATCCGTTGCATGATTTCGTTACATAGCAACTCGCATGAAACGAACTTACCCTACCGTGCGTAAAGAAGTTTCACTTCAAAAACATTTAAGTACCTAATACATTAAATTGTCAATTTTTAATAATCAAAACAATTAATACGATTTTGAATAAATAATTCACTGAAAACAAGCGGCACATTATTGGTAGGCGTTTTTGTTAAGTTCTTTGGGGAAAGAATTTTTGAGGGTAAATTTGGTGATGATAAAATAAAAGGGTATTACAGCGGATTACAGACGCATTCGGGAGCGTCGACGTTCAATCAATTTACATTAGTACAAAATAGATAGTAATTAAAAACAAAAATTTCTATTTCTTAATAAAATTTTGTTTCATTGCAGCTATTTATTTCTTCAATAAGACTCAAGTACAGTTACATATGCGAGCCATGTCGACAGTCGTGGGACCCCGACGAATTACGAGTAAGATATTAAAAAAATAATGTAAATAGAAAACACTAAAAAAACCTTTAAATTATAGATTGCCAACGCTGTCTGGTGGTACTATTTTTCAAAACTTTTAGAATTCAGTGACACTTTCTTCTTTATATTAAGGAAGAAAGACCAACAATTGACGTTCCTTCATGTTTATCACCATTCAACGATGTTTGGTTTGTGGTGGATCGGAATAAAATGGGTTCCAAGTGGTTCAAGTAAGTAAAAAATATTTAGATACGAATGAGTTGCTTCAATTAACGTACTGTTTAGAAAATGTAGATGTCAAGAAACATCATTCGATTTTTTACTAAATTCTAAGACATATTCGAAACAAATAAATTAGTATGGATCGTAAATAGAGATGTGCAGAATGATTTTTTAAAAGTATTTAAATACAAAATGCAAATACTTTTTTTAAATTGTTATTTCAAATGTAAAATACAAAATAGATTTCCCCTTTGTATTTCAAATGCCAAATGAAAAATACGTATTTTCAAAGTACTTTTTTCAAATAAATACTTTTTGTAGTACTTATTTAAGTAATTTTCTACATTTACCTAAGTATTAAATATATTTTAAAAAGACCTTGCAGGTATTTGCTTATTTTTTTACATATTGGAGGTTTTCTAGACTAATAGTGCTGTTTGCACTATGTCACCAGCTGCGAAGATTAAGTATGATTCATATTTTTGTGTTTGGATTAATTGAGATGTAGTTTTTCTATCTTTATGTTATAGTTTCTTCAGTTCAGCAACAAATAATTCTTCTATATGCTTCCTTGTTTGCCTTGGTCAAATTTAATTAGAAAAACGACACTGACGCCAAAATAGTTTGTTAAGCGTAAAAGATCAGAGTCAAGATAGGGTTGCAAATAATTTTATTGATGTAAAATCACCATCAATCATTTTATATCATAATATTTACAACCGCATTTTGTTTCTGATCTTTTACACATTGTAATAAGAGAGGGAAATGGAATCCATAGTTTATTTAACTTTGGGTTTATCTAATAAGTGAAGTTTTTCGAATTGTTTTCTTAGAATTTCTAAGGATCAAGATCATGCAGTTTTCAATTTTACACAGCTGGTGTATATCAATTCGATATTGTTTTGCGGGCTGTTTTGTCGTAGTTCAAAGACTTTCGTAGTTCCTTGCTAAGATAAGTGGTGCTGATATCTATTTGAACTTCAAAATTCCATGGACTATGACATTGAACCAGGAACACAATATCGATCAAGTGATATAGATTATCCATTTCTATGGAGTTTAGAAAATTTTGGGTTCTCTTAAGATAAAAATAGGTATTTCTTGTTTTGTATTTGCATTTTAAATGCTGATCGTAAAGTAGTGGTGAACAATACGACATATGTATATAGATACCAAAATGATAAAAAGTAATAGTAACCTAGTCAATATTATTTGAAAATTGACTTTTGAAGATCAAAGTTTCGAAAACTGCAGTAACTTCCTCTACCTACAGCTTTATAGAGTATAGAAGTTTCAAGAAATTCAATATATCTCGGAATTGTTTCGTAGTTTATCTTTTTGGGAGTAATGACAATAACAAAAACATAAATTTTAGCTTTCCTACCTGCGATGGTGAATTCTGCCATTCATGTTCTGATGTACTCTTACTATGGACTATCGACGTTGGGTCCACGAGTGACCAGATACCTGTGGTGGAAAAAATACTTGACAATTCTTCAACTGGTTAGTATTAATTTTATAAATTTTTTCATTTATGTGAAGTTTCAATTTAGGCCTAGTTAATGATGAGGAGGAGAAATTCTGTAAGAGCCGTTTCACATGAAGCGTATGATTAGGACGGAACGTTAGCGTCAATTTTCTATACGCAACGTACTGCTTTCAGATGCATGTCGTATGGTCAAGTAGTGACCAGTCGTTGTTGGCGGCTATTGCCATTTATACTGTCGGTTTGTTACATTTACGATGTATCTGTTACCGGAAATGTATGAAATCTAGGAAATTATACAATTTAGGAAATCTATAAAATATTGTTTCAAAGATTTTTTAATGCACACATATCCTAGGAAATGCATGAAATTCCGATATTGTACTGGGAATGTATAAAACTAATGCTTTCTGTGAATAAAATGAATAAAACATTTTAGTAAAATTAGAATCAAGCTTATCTGTTTTTTCGCGTTCTAGTCGATTGCCTGATATATATTGGAGACATTATTGTTTGGTTAGGTTAGATTTGGAGATGTATATACATTAGTGACGTCATTATATGGTTTTTAGGCAGACCGGAGTTTCTTCAATACCCCTGCCCACCGGAGGCGAGTAGATATGTTAGAATAAGAATGCTTCATTATGATCTCCGCGCCCAACACACATACATATGAAAATGATCAGTATCATCACCTGTACAACATACTAAAAAATCAAGGTCATCATGTTTGCTGAAATAAAGATAATGTCGTCACATTATTTTAACATTTAAATTCCGCCTCCGGTGGGCAGGGGCATTAAAGAAACTCTAGTCTGTCATAAATCTCCCTAACCAAACAATGACGTCACCAATGAATATAAGTACATCTCCAAACAGCCTGCCGTATTACTGCCTATTTCGGATTACCTGTAATACATTTCCGATTGCTATTTAGAAATGTATAGATTTCCTAGGAAATGTGTCTAATATAATTTATTTCACATATTTCCAGACGATTTTAGGAATTATATATATTTCCTAGGAATTGTATACAATGATGGATTTCATACATTTCCGGTAACATATCTAAGTAATAAAATAATTGCCGTAGCTTTACGGATAAAACGACATAGGGAAAAGCCTAATACGTAAGAAGAGACTATGGGTGCATCCTATCGTTAGTGAAAGATATTTAGTGACTACCTTCGTTACCTTTTTATTATATTGGGGGTTGTGAAGTACTAGACACCTACATTAGAATGAGTTGAATGCTCACAAATGGTTAAGGATGTGGGATGTTCTAATTTTAGGGAAATGCGAAAATTACCTCAGGATAGGAAATTTGAGATACATGCGGCCAGCGGAGCTATGATTTTTTTCCAAAGTAGCCCGCAAGATCAATCGGGTTGACCGCCCCTCCTTAGACAAAAATGTTCAGTCTCTTTCCGGTACCTCAGAGTCTTTCAGCGTCTCTGAGAGCGTCTCTCACAGTCTTTTACAGTCTTTCAGTTATTGCCCATGTGTTTTTATAGATATCTCACAGTCTCTGTATGAGAGACTCGAACAATAAAATTGTTAATTCAAAGATTCGAGTCTCTCGTTCAGAGATTTGAGTCTCTCGCACAGAAACTGGACACGAAATGAGGATCTCTCTATGAGCGACTCGAATCTCTTGTTCAGAGACGCTAAACAGTTTTTTTCAGAGTCTCTCGACAGTCTCTCTCAGCGACACCAGAGACACTCGAGTCTCGCTTTCAGAGACTCTGAGAGACTGAACATTTTTATCTCGGGCTGTTCTAGATCATGTCGGTAGTTCTCATGTGAAGTTACATAACGCATGACCTCAATGTATGCCTTATGTAGTGAATTTTACGTATTGACCATACAAACTTAATGTGAAATTACTTATTTAAAAGTACGGTCCTTGCTTACGTGTCCTGACGGTACATCCTGATTGTGCGTACCATGTGAAACGGGACTAACAAAAAGTATCAAATTTTACATAGGTGTTAGAATTTCAGAAACAAAGATTAAACGTTTCGTTTTTATTAATTTTAAACAGAATAAACTCGAAAACTGGTAGACAATTACAATTTATTTTATTTCAGATTCAATTCACTTGTGCCTTACTTTTGGGAGTAAATGGTTTAAGAACCGGATGTGATTTTCCTTTGTGGATGCATTACACTTTGATTATTTACATGATATCCTTTATTGTGTTATTCGGCAACTTTTACGTGAAGGAATATATGAAAAAGGTAATTCATAACTTTGTTTTTCATGCTCAATAATTGTAATCGTTTTTTCCGTTAATCAGGAGAATAATTCTAATTTATAAAATAAAAAATGATTAGGTACTTACTAAAACTGTAAAAATAAAAGAGAAACAAAAAGTAATACAAATTCGTATTCCGCTATGCTTTAAATGCATTTTGTCTGACTTTAGGGAAGCAGAGTGTTTTATGGAATGGATATGGGTTGCGGCCAAGGCATAAACTTCCAAGAAAATGGAAGATTCAGTCCGCTATATGAGAAAAAGCAGTCATGATTTGTAATTAGGTATATTTATTACGTATTGTATAATAATTTATTTTTATTTGTATTTGGAATTTTGTACGTATGATTTTTTTACATTGAAAAAACAAATGATGGATTTATTGTAAGAATAGATTATTAGTAAAAATTTTATTTAAGTCATCTTTTTTTGTTTCTAGAATATTTTTTTTACTTCAAGAAAATAAAAGTAGAAGTTGATAGAAAGCTTCTGTATTAGGTAGGTAGGTAACTATCTGTGCCTTTTTTGAAAACAACATTTTTTTGGATATGACCTAAAATGGCCTACTTATGAATAACAGATTTTCTTCGAAAATTAATAAAAATGGAAACGTAGTGTTATATTACACACTTTTAATTTTTTTGTCTTCCGTTCTAACAAGTTTTACATTTTTAATGCGTTTCTAATCGAATCCTTTCTTCCTCTGTATTCAAATTATATTGAAAATGATATATTTATCAATAAAAATGCCTGTTATGGACAGACATACTAAGAAGACTATAAATTAACATATTTTTTAATACATCTTCCAATTGGGGTACAAATATATGTCTTTCGCAGTTTATTGTAATTTGCAGGACGAAGTAGAATTGTAGTTCCGGTAGGCTGTGATTACTATTATTATTACTGTCAAATAAGCTCTGCCCTTGCGTTAATAATGAAAATTTTTAAATACCTCTTCTTAGTTTTAAAGTAAATAAGCACTTATCTGCTTTTTAATATTATAAAACAGTAAACCACATTTCCTAGCTTACTTTATCGTTAACTTAACCTAACTTATTATGAAATGAAGTGATCGTAGTAAGTACAAAATACATTGTGTTACCTTTTATGCGATATTTTCTTTATACATAGCTATATCACTGCACAATTGTACATAACTATTTCTGTCCTTTCTACAAACACTTTTTTCTACACTTTAAATGATTGCACCATCAACCCCGTACTCAGTTCATATGTAACTAAAGTTTTTGTTTGTTTGTCATGAAGATTCTTTGCAATGACGATCCAAGTATGCTCGTTCACAATAACGAGTTAACAACAAATAGGTTGCAGGTTATGCACTAGCTTTTAATCAAATAAAAGTCCTAGTAAATGTTTTAATATACATTTGGTTTGATTTTAAAAATAAATTGAACTTATTTTAATAGAAAATAATGTGACGTACGGCCACTGATAGTTTTAACGGAGGACGAAGTTTAAGTTTTTTAAGCTGCGTGAACGCGACTTTGATAAAATTGATAGTCCTGCCAATAGAAATTAGAATAACCCTACTAAGGATGTAAGAACTGAACTCAGCGTCTGTAGATGAGGAGACATTAAAGAAGTATGTGAAATTTTTAAGGAGTGTGAGTAGTTAGTGCAATAGTTGTCTACAGGATAAAGAATTTGAAGAATACCTCTCGTTAGCTGTCTTATCAAGAAAACATGTATTCCTACCAAAAGGTAAATAAATCCAAAGCATCTTTGATAAATCGGCAGAAATAGGTAATGTTACCTTCAATCTGAGAGTAGTGGTTGTTTTTTTGTGGTGTGAATGTCAACCAATCAGGTATTTAGAAGGTGTTACTATGGCCAATAAATACCTGTAAAGTAAGTTTTACATCAGATTGCTATTTTCGAAATAGTTTTTGGCAATAAGAGTATGTAAAGTAATTTCTTGCTTTAAGTATTTGTGTATTTGTTATTTATTTAATCTTTTAGGCTTGAATCGTTTAATTTAAATTTGACAAAAAATACTGACCAAAAATACAAAATTCAGGAAATTAATATTTTTGTGTTAAGAATCCTCTAATACGATGGAGGTTTGTTTAATTTAAAGTAAAAATGATCTCAAAATTCCATTTGTAGAATTTATAAACGAAATAAGTATAATAAACAGGTTTAAAATCTGCCAGTGTCCTTTCTCAAGTTCATTTAAAATGATATCAGTTCTGCTTAATCATAAGCAAACAGTAAAAAATACTTGAAAAAGTTACTGTAATGTTGAAAGGAATTTCTTAGCTATTTGATTTGTTCTATAAGCTCGTTAAATAAAATGGCAAACACAATTTAATTTGGTGTATTTTTTCCTTAAGAATTCGGCTAGAGAAAACGATAACATATCCGACTTGGAAGGTTCTGTTTGTGATATTCTGCAAAAACATTCAATTAACACACTGCTTCAGAAANAATACTTTATAAATTAATTCACTTTTTTAATTCTGTGCCTTATTATTTTATAATACACAGAATATGTATTATCTATGTATTGTCAAAATATCAGTTCCTTTTAAGGTTTATTCCCTTTGTATCTCTAATATTATTTATAGATTATCAAAAACAAAAAGAAATGTGTTGACTTTTGTGAATAACCAAAGAGGTCTACTACGTCCTATTTATCTTAAAATGAATGACACAGCTTAACTAAAATTTGAAATCCTTAACAATAATATGCTGGTGGTAAGAAAGTTATTGAAACTATCAGATGAGAATCTCATCAGTGCAACGTATACTTTAGTAGCCGCAAATATCTAGTAGATGGCGCAACTGTGTCTTCTTTGTATATTATATCAATTCGCATTGTAGGAGCTTCTTCACTTTAGTCAATAATTTTTAAACCGCTTATGGCGAATGAGATCAAATAAAATCGAAATTGCGATCCGCTTCTGGTAATTTCAGTTCCGACCAAGAACTTAAACGCACTTATTAATATGGTTTCATTCAATTATTCTTACACAATTTGAAATACCTTACTCACAGCAAATATCCACTAGATGGTCATATACTGCCTGTCTACGTTATTTTTTATGATTTTTTGGATCCACAAAGAAAAGTTTTTCAAAAAATTACCTGTTTTAGAAAGGAATGTTATATTTCCATGATTTTTATTTGCAAAATAACTGGGTGTCTTAAGGATCCACATGGACAGTTTTATGTACGAGATAGATTAAAATCTTACTTTACATATGTCATAAAGTAAAAACAAATGTAGAAATCATGAGTTTTACTATTTGACTTCTCAGTTCTAAGAATGCCACTTTTAATAGACAATTGTTGATAAATGTCTATCTCACACCTGTTAGTTTTAAAACAACATTTATTGATTTCGCTTAATTACTTCTCTTCATTCAAATTGGTCTCTACAAACCGCATTTCCTATCATTATTTTTATTCTTCCTGTCTGACAAATTATTTCGGTAACGATTACAATAGAATCATGTTCGGTATCTACCAAATAAGGAAACAGAGAAATACAACAAAGACAAAGTTTCCGTTTTGTTTAAACTTCCTTTTCCTAGAAAATAGAAAGTCTTTCTATATGAAGGTGTATCCTTTAAAGCAATATTTTTACATACCTATCTAAGTTAGCTTAAGTACAGTATTTGTTCAGTTTGTAGTACTTACCAGGGAACTTAAAGAAATAGTAAATATAACTGGAAATTTTGTAATGATTAGTTGTGCATATTTCCTAAGTTTAAGTAGTAATGAATTCAGATTTTTATTTATATTTATTTCATTTCGTATTAAGAAAATGTTACAGGCATTTGCTCATTTTATAAATATTGGAGTTTTTCTAGACTAATAGTGGTGTTTGCACTATATCACCAGCTGCGAAGAATGATGAAATGATTCATATTTTTCTGTTTGAAGTGATTGAGATAAAGTTTTTATAGTTTTATGTTACAGTTTCTTATAGCAACATATAATTCTTCTATATGTTTCCTTATTTGTCTTTAACATCCATTTTAATTGGAAAAAAGACACTGATGCTAAAATAGTTTGTTTTGCGTGAAAGATCAGAGCCAAAAGAAATTATTGATGTAAAATCAACGTCAATCATTTTATATCAAAATATTTACAACCCCATTTTGTTTCTGATCTTTTACGTATAGTAATGAGAGACAGAAATGGAATGCATAGTTTCTTTAGCTTTGGGTTCATCTAATAAGTGAAGTTTTTCGAATCGTTTTCTAAGAATTTTGGATTAAATGCATTCATAAGCAATATCTTGCAATTTTTAGTTTTACACATCTGACGCGTATCAATTCGATAATGTTTTGCGGGGTGTTTTGTCGTAATTCATAGAATTTCGTAGTTCCTTGCTAAAGGTACGATAAGTGATAATTTGGCAAGTACTGTTATCAATTTGGAACTTCAAAATTCCATGGACCATGATATTGAACCCGGAAAACAATATCGAACCAATATTTTCGATTATCCGTTTCCAAGGAGTCTATAATTTTTTGGGCTCTTAGAAGGCCTTTATAGAATATCTCTTTGTCCCCTTTTTAAGCTGCTAATACTTTCAATGGCTAATGTGAGCAACTTTCATTCATCATTTTATATAATGTTTGATCGGTGATTTATGTGATATTTGTACTCATGATCAGTAGTTCTTTGTCAACTGGAATAATATTAATAACTCTGATTGTGATATGCGTAAATAACAGTTACTACAGTTATACTACGGACTACACACGCCGGATGGGATTGTCGTACCATCTTCCCTCATTAAGTAAAAATAACGAGTTGCATAATTTTAAACTGAGCAAAGCATTTTGGATACTTACGGTTTTAATGTTAAAGTTTATCGATACATTGGGTTAATATTCAGAGTGAGCCAGCAGATAGTTCAAAGGATTCATTAGATGTGCCTGGATCTACCCGAATCCACCCATACCTACATAATACGTTGTTCCTATGCTTTCATATCTTATTACTTGTTTTTCATGTTATAAATATAATGTTTTTTATTTACAGTTCACGTTGAAATAATTTAAAATGACTTCGGTGGCCTTAAATGTTACCAAGACTGTGTGGAAGGAAGTATACGATTATTATCTTTGGACACACTCGTTATCAGGTAATTGTTTTCGTTGTTAAGCTAAGTACCTGATATTAATTCTTACGATAATATAGGTATTTATAATTAAAAATATTCGTTTTCATGTACTTACTTATATTCTTATTGAATTAGTTCACTTTATATAGCATTTAATCGTCAACTAATT